TGATTGCTAAATGCCCAGTTCTAGACATTAGAATTACCTGTGATATCAGATTTCTTTGCTATCTTTCAGAATGCTATGATTTTTATAGAAGCATAAGTTGTGAGATGATGGGGAAAATTTAATACTTATTTATCCAGCCTCATAGAATGATGTGGTCTATGACTGTAGCCAAAACTAATTTTTGATCTTTTATAAAATTAAGAAAACTAATTGAAAGCAAATTTATTTAACCGATGAGATTAAAAATATAGATCTGCTAAAATGTGAGCACACTGATTTTTGATCATAATTAATGGCATAAATATCTACTATACTTGTTGTTGTTGTTGTTGTTATGTGCCGTCGAGTCGGCCCCGACTCATAGCGACACCTCCTTGGGTTTCCGAGGCAGTATCACTACGGAAGTAGGATTGCCCAACCTTCCTTATAGGAACCCAAATAAGGGAAACAAACATGCATTTTGCTCTTACTTAAATCATGTTGACATCATACATAAATCAGGCAGAATTTGGAAATAGAGTGGGTGACAGCTTTCTGATATGGACTGAGAAAGTTACTCACTCTTTGGGCTTCTTTTGTTCTCCTTGTTATGCAAACCAGAAGGTGATAGGTAGACCCATTTTATCACCTAGTTTTGTTTTTTTTTTTCCCAACCAATTTGATAGATTCTTGAGCCCTGTGAGGGTTTTCAAGCTCCTTGAGAAAAACACAGCACATACCTAATGTGGTATAGGAGAAATAGTATTGGTCAGAGGCAGGAGAACTGGTCTAGTGAGTAACGTGTGACCTTGGGCCTTGGTATCTTTATATGTAAAAGAGAGAATTGGATTAAAATGCAGTGCTCTTCACATTTCTTTTCTTTTCTTTTCTTTTTCCTAAAGCTTTACTTGACAGTAGCGTACAACACAAATATTAACAAGTTTTCTAGGGGAAAGAAAAGACACAAATAGGAACTCGTTTTCCTCAAAGTGATCACTAAAATTCTAAATTAGTTTTACTATATGTAGTGAAGGGAGCTCTGGTAGCATAGTGGCTAAGACACTTGCCTGCTAACCAGACGGCTGGCGAGTCAAACCCACCAGCCACTCCTCGGAAGGAAGGTTGGGCAATCCTACTTCCGTAGTGATACTGCCTCGGAAACCCAAGGAGGGGTCGCTATGAGTCAGGGCTGACTCGACGGCAAACAACAACAACAATATGTAATGAAAAGTATAAGCCCCAACCCAGCATCCTGGCAGGAGGAATACCCTGTCTCATTTATCAATGATGTTAAGCATTAGATTGAAACGCTTGTTTCCCAGAGTCAAATAAATTTCCAGCAGGGAGTTGATCCTCTGAGATGCCTTCATAATGGCCATATGAAACCTAGTTTCACTGTGATCTTAATTTATTCTGTTGGCCAGAGACCTAAATAAACTAGTTTTTCTAATTGGAATGGACCCTCAGCATCCATACAAGGATAGATTTTAAACAGGACAGATAGGAGCAGTTCTTTTACATTGCAGCTCCCTGTTTTTTTAATTTGGATACAGTAACATGTAGAAAAGCAATTCTGCTTTTTTTGATGTTTTTAGAAGCTTTTTAATTGAGGAACATTTCTGTTCTAATTACTGTGTAAAGAACTCCAAAGTAGCCGCATTTATTTTCCCAGAATGTCCTTATAATGAGTTATGTTAAGAAGATGGCATTTCTTATTTCAAAGGAGGTTCAAGTTTGTTCAGAGTTTGGGACTTTCAGTCTTAGTAATATTCTGATTGGAGGTGGGAGTGGGGTGCTGCAAGGTTTGGGCAGTATATACTGCTTAAACCATGTGCCTAAGAGTTGCACAGGTGTCGTCTTGGGACTGGTAGGCAGCCTAGAGCTTCTGGCCCATCCTCTGAACTGGCTTATCCTGACACAGGAGTCTTTAACTGTCTTTCACAGCTGGCCACCTCCCTAACAGCATTTACTGGTCATTCTGGGCCTTTGTTTTGTTGTTATATGCTGTCGAGTCAGATCCAACTCATAGCAACCCCTCCTTGGATTTCCGAGGCAGTATCACTACAGAAGTAGATTGCCCAACCTTCCTTCTGAGATGTGGCTGGTGGGTTTGAACCGCCAGCCTTCTGGTTAGCAGTCAAGTGCCTCAGGCACTATGCTACAAGAGCTCCTGCCTTTGTTTTAGCTGCTTATAAAGCTCAATATACCATAAATTTTAAAGCTCCTAGGACAGTAATTTACCCAGAACCACACACAGCTGCCACCAGCAGAGGCCCAAACTCTTGTAAGAGACATGGAGAGAGAGAAAGAGATTTAAAAAAAAAAAAAAAAGGCAACAAAAACTTTCTAGGCCAAAGTTCAGCATGTGCTCTTTCTCTTGAAATTTATAAATCTGAAGATACAACCAAGCATTCTTAGAGGTGCTAAAACACAATCTTCAGACATATGTAAGAGCTGCATCCTAGAATCTAATTTTAGTTTCTCAGCTGTTGTTTTTCATCTAAATCTTTTAAGAGATTATCAAAGTCAGTCTCACCTACACCTGGAGATAATAATTGCTGGCAAACTAACAACATTAAGAGTTCTCTGAGAGAAAAACATACAGCAAAACTAAATAAAAATTTGCAGAGAGACACACCAAATCACAGCCTTCAAAATCCAAGAGCTCTTATCTCACAGGGTCCCAGGGGTCTATAGAGATGGTGGGGTATAAGAAACCCCTTTTCTGGCAACTGTTCCAACCCTCAGACCTCCTCAGGGGTCCCATCAAGAAAAACAGCTTTGGATCCCATCCTCATCGCCATTTGTGCTAGGGAAATAAAGACCCCAGGTTTAAAAATGTGCTATAGAGAAGAGACCCTTTTATTATGTTTTAAACAGGAAAAAGACAAAACAAAGATAGTCATCTGGATGAGGGAATCCAGCAACTTGTAGCCAGAACAGAGGCCGATGGAATCCCTTCACATTTGATTTTCAGGCAACAAGAACTTTCTTCAGAATAAATCTTTCCTGGAAGGAGTCCCAATATGCAAAATGGGCAAAAGTGGGATTGTTCTGAAGCGAAGACAAGCTATAAAAGCCAGAGCCTCATTCTTTTGGCTCATCCCACACATTTTGAAATAATTATTTTAGATGATCACTAAGGATCTTTCCGGAAGCTCTGGTAGCGTAGTGCCTAAGGCACTTGACTGCTAACCAGAAGCCTGGTGGTTCAAACTCACCAGCCACTCCTCGGAAGGAAGGTTTGGCAATCTACTTCCATAGAGATACCGCCTTGGAAACCCAAGGAGGGGTTGCTATGAGTCGGGTCCAACTCGACAGCACATAACAACAACAAGGATCTTTCCAATTGAAAAGGTGTTTCATGTTAATTTATAATGAAGTTATAGTAGGACTAAAGAGCCAATTCAAGTGAAATAAACATAATCTGAGTAACAGATTTATGCCATGGTGCATGGTCTGGGCAGATTTGTTTAAAGTCTATCTCCACTAGTATGACTATGTGAACACATATAAGCAGATTAGATGGTGGTCAAGAATGTGTATTTTGCTGTAAGACAGATCTTGGCTACAGTTTGGACTCTACCATTTATTAACTACAACATTGACCAAATTGTTTAATTTTCTAGTATTTGATTTCTCATCCATAAAATGAGATTGATAATGGCACCTACTATCCAGGGTTACTGTGAGTGTTAAATGGCGCATTAAGCCTGTGAACTCTTGGTGTTAGCATGCAGTAATTGCTCAAAGGGTAAGAGCTCATTTAAGCCCAGAGATGCTAGTTGAAAGAATGAATAAATATAGAACTAGATTTTTATTTATTTATTGAATATCTTTGTTTTATTTATTTAACATTAATATTCAGACTTGTTGAACTATTTGCTAATGCAAATAATCATAATGTTATTCAGTTCCAAAACTTTTGAAGGAAAATGAAAAAAATGAGATGCTAAAATAGCACAAACAATTTTCATTTCAGGAACAAAGTCACTGTTAAGATCAAGGGGGTTTGTCAATTTATTAGTTTTGTTAATGTAAAAACCTAGGATTCTGGAGCAGTGATTCTCATGTGTTAGCATGCATCAGAATTACTGGGGAGTATGTGCTGAAATAAAGGTTATTGGTACCCATCCCCAGAGTTTCTGATGCAGTGGGCTGGAGTGTGGCCTGAGAATTTGCATTTCTAATGTGTTGCCATGTGATGCTGATACTGCTGGGATTAAAACCCATGGCCAACAAATCAATTCCAACTCATAATGACCCTATAGGACAGCAGAACTGCCCCATAGGGTTTCCAAGGCTGTAATCTTTACAGAATCAGATTGCCACATCTTTTCTCCTGTAGAGCAGCTGGTAGGTTTGAAATGCTAACCTTTTGGTTATCAACCAAGCATTTAACCACAGTGCCTCTTTATAGTAACTGAACCAAACCCACTGCCATCAAGTCCATTCTGACTCATGGTGATCCTTTAGAACAAAGTAGAACTGCCCCTTATGGTTTCCAAGGCTGTAAATCTTTACAGAAGCAGACTGCCCACGGAATGGTTGGTGGATTTCAACCACCATTCTTTTGGTTAGTGCCAAAGAGCTTTGACCACTATGCCACCAGGCCTCCTTTCTTTACAGTAAAGGTAATAGTAATTAAACAATGTAACTGGATTACTTTGTTTGGAGTGCAGGTGCTAAATACAGAAATGCTAATGAAAAGATATATACTTAAATGTATCAACCACTCACACCAGCTGTGAATTTGAGTACCACAATAATTATAAAATGTGTGATTCTCTCCAGGTAATTGATTGTTTAAAAATCTCCCTATATATGCTTTTTCCCTCACTTATTTTTGTAAGAGGTCTCTTCCTTTCTCTTTAATTTTACTTTTGATGTAAATATATTTTTAATGTTCAAAGCAGAAATGAACCTTTTATACAATTTTGCTCTATTATTAGGTTTGTTCATAAGCTATTCCTGCACTCTTAGCTTTTATACTGAAACATGTTTTCTTGCTTTTGTTGTAGTATGGAAGAGAAGAGAGCAACTGGACAATCATAGTATCCTGAATGAGAAACACAGGACATCATCTGTATGCCATTAGGACAGACAACAGTCTGAATTATGATAGATTTCTTTGGCTACCTTTTCACAGTTGTGCATAACTTAGTTTGTATTATCAGTGTATTACCAGGGTGATTGTTTCCATATGCCAGAGAAAATGAATTGCAATCATAAAATGATGATTTGTAAACTTAGTAGTAGAAGCTTACTTACCTTCTCTTAGAAAGATGGTAACGTAAGCCATATAACATAGAATTTTCCTCAATAGTTTTAGTGCCTCCCTTAGTACTTAGATACAGAGATGTTTGTTCATTTGTTCCTTAGCGTAAATTGTGTGTTTTCCTGCTCAACCAAATGAGATTTTTTTTTGTGTTTAAAGCTGACTTTAGTAAATTTCATAGGTAACATTTCCTGTGATTCATCTTTATCACCAGAAGGTGTTAAGTGCTTGCCTTTTTATTTTCTCTCTGTATTTACTATTCAATAGTAATATTTAGTTTTAAATCAAGAATTTGAAAAACTGGATTTCTTCCCCTCCACTTTTTTTTTTTTTTTTTTTTTAAAGCAGACTCCCTAAATCCATCTTAAGGTGACCCTCCTTACTTTGTTCATGTTCACCTTATGCGTCAGTAAGATCTGGGCACACGTCCACCATTGTTCTTTCCACACCACATTGTAATCAGCTATTTGTCAGGTTCCACTACAAGACTAAGGGTCTTGTGCCTTATATATCTTTGTATCTCCAACACTTGGCACATGGTAGGTACTCTGTAAACGTTGTGTGTAATGAATGAATGAACATTTAGCTTCTGTAAAGGTAAATCTTCTTTGTTTCTGTATTATGAAACATCTTTATTAGAATTTGTGATTGAGTCTGACATTGTTATATTTACCTCATGTTGCCTTTATTTTCCATGGACTAATAAATCATTAGAGATACTCAGAGGCATAATTAGTTAGAGCAATTATTTAATATTTGAAGATGGTCTTGGAATTAAAGGCATATTCTAGAGAGAAATTTAGATACCAACCAAAGGGAAATGACAAATACTATATGTTAAGTGTTAAATACAAAATAAATCATCATGTTTGGGTTTTTTTGGGTAGAAAGCAAATAGGTAGAATGTGATTTTTGTACTTTGCCCTTATAGATGGTCTTTTCAGTTGAACAGGGATTGGATGAATGAATGGTTAGGGTATAGAAAGTGCAACTATGGATTATTTTTTTCTTCATTTAGGAACTGTGAGTTAAAATTTTATCTTCCTGGTTTATCTACAGGAAAGTAAAAATCTGTTAGAAAACATATTCCCTAGGAAGGTCAATTCTCAGACACTTCATTTTGGTTTCCCTTGGTCCTAATAACTATCATCCTGCTGATCATACTTCATTCTCTTCAGAGCAAGGGGAAAAAAAAACTCTGAAAGTTTGATGTATTGGAAAAATTTCCTCAAGGCATTTAACAATACATAGCAAATGGGATTTTGATTCTTTTCTAAGACCTTTTGCCATAGGGTGTTTTTAGATAGGAATGGTAAAATGAAAATTAGAGAAGTATAAGATGAAAAAGGAATGGTAAAAATAAAGTATCTTTTAGGGAGGTTTTAATTGGTGATCTGAAATCTAAGAAGCGTCTGCTTTTTTTCAGGCCTTGTTGTTGTTGTTGTTATGTACCATCGAGTCGGACCCAACTCATAGTGACCCCTCCTTGGGTTTCCAAGGCAGTATCACTACAGAAGTAGATTGCCCCATCTTCCTTCCGAGGAGTGGCTGGTGGGTTTGAACCACCAGCCTTCTGGTTAGCAGTCGATTCAGGGCTTAGTGTTTCTAATCGCCTCCTGTACTCGATCAAGAAGTAGCAATATAAGGATTTGCTTTCACCTTGACTAAATCCTTGGACCTCATTTTTAATGTAGTAATCTTGAAAAGACTTCACGTAATTTTAAACTGTCAAATAGCAGATAATGACTAAAATCAAATTCCTATGAGAAATGGAAATAATTTGTTTGCCATACATTTTATGCTTTTGTATCTCTAAATTTAGTATGGCAAGACATGTCCATTGTGGAAGTTAAGAATAATATGCATCTATGTTTGATTTCTTTCATAAAACTTTAAGAGCATTTTAAACCCTTTCTGCTAGACTTAGTAAAGGCTAAGGATATGCATTTAAAAAGAAAAAAAAAAAAAAACTGGAGACTTTTATTTAAAATAATTGGAGCTTTTTCCTAATACAAAGAACATGATCTGCCATTCTCATTTAAGTAATAAGACAGGAAGAATTGACCTACACACTGATTTGCTAAATAGATTTTTCAGAAACATCTGCACATCTTTTTCCTTGTGCACTATTTGTTTAATACAGCAAGAGTGGCACATTATAGCTGGGCAATTATCCATCCTTCAAGACTTAGTTATCATAACACTAATTGATCATTTAAGGCATAAGATAGTCTAACATTAGGAACATGTGAGGCTAATCTGCTCAAAAAGATTAACAAATTAATATTGTTGCTGATATTTGCATAATTGGCTGCAATTATTTAATGTTTAATTGGGTTGATCAAATGAGATTCAGCAATTCACATGTGCATGAATATAAACAGAACTGGTGGCACTCAAAATGATAATGATTAACTTATTTTGCATGTTCTCTTCCTCCCACTTTATTCAGTTACTACTTTTCAGACCCAGTTTGTCAGCTTTTTCCAAAACACATCAGTAGAAACCAAGACTTTAAAATGAAGTGTTCTGACATAGGCAAAACCTAAGGATTTCTTACGAATATTTGCTGTTGGAAATTTCCTTTGATACAGTCATTTCCTAAGGATTCAACTCATGATACACCACAAGAATGAGGAAGTATTCCATGCTATCCGGTACTTTGCAGCTGGCAGGAATGAATACATTAATAATACCTGCTTTAGCCTTTGCTTTCAAAAGCATATAGAAGAAGTGAAAAGGAAAGGAAAAGAAAAATCTTTGTGGAGAATCTTGGTTTGGGGTTGTTGTTTTCAGCCTGGTAAACATCCTCTGGAGACACTGGGTGGTGCGAACCATTAAGTGCTTAACTACTAGCTGAAAGGGTGCAGTTGAAAATCTATCCAGAGGCACCTTGGAAGACTGGCCTGGCAATCAGCTTCAGAAAGGTCACAGCCGTGGAAATGCTATGGAGCAGTTCTGCTTTGCACATGGTGGGGTCATGGGGAGTTGTAATTGACTTGCCAGCAACTTCAACAACAACAAACATTCTCTATGCTTTTCTCAAAAGATAGCTTATAAGAAAGAAAGAAAGGAAAAAAAGATCAGAGAGAGAGGCAAGAAAGCATAGTATAACATCAACTGTATGGCGGCATGCAGTCCACTGTGTATAATTCTTCACTGTATTAGTTTTGTTGTTTGATATAATTGTACCTAAACAAGTGGAGTCTTGCTTTCCTCAAATCAGAGCCCGTTAGGCCACTTGAAGGCAATTAATCAGTGTGTGCTAGAAGAATTGTGAGACTTTTAAAACTGCAGCTCCAGCTCACTTTTAAGCAGATTGTGCTGTGAGATCAGCTATCAAAATAAGCTTATTTTCTTTTTCCATTGCCACTCAGTGCTCAATCACTGCATTCTTTTTCCTTAAGAAGTTCCTTTTTAAAATGTTATGTTCTGTTTACTATTATGATTGGGAAAATATATTTTAAGCAGAAACAACATTTGTTCACTTTCAATGAAATGACTATATTGAGAATGATATTTTGTTAAATTTTTAGAGCAGTATATATTCTGAGGCTACAGGAAGGCAAATGGCTTAGGGGTTAGAGAAACATTTTAAGGATCCTTGATTCTAAATACTATCAAAGAATTCTTTGTATTGCGGATTTCTTCTTATGTAGATATGCAAAAACTTAAATTATGAATATTAATACTAACAAATGAGTTTAGTGGATACTTTATAATACTTGTCAATTGTTTTCCCACAAGTACAGTGTTTTCTAGGTATCACCTCAAAATGGAGACTAAGGGTATCAGCTTTTCAATAAATATTACCTATTAATTGACAAAGGTCATAGAATTATAATTTGATCAGTTAATAGAATAAATGTTGATTGAGTTCCCTCAAATTCGTCTAACACCATCAGCAATAGAGATCAGGAAGTTAGTTTTAGCAAATAAATGACATGTAGACATAATTCTCATGAGGTTTACGGTCCTCGGAAGGAAGATGGGGCAATCTACTTCTATAGTGATACTGCCTCGGAAACCCAAGGAGAGGTCGCTATGAGTCGGGTCCGACTCGATGGCACATAACAACAACAACAACATTTGAATTAAGTTTATATATATAAGCAGTGTTGTATAATGAGAGTAAGCCAAGAACACCTCTCAATAAGAAATAACAGTGAACACTTTCATTCCTTTTTCAAGGAAATTTCTTTTTTCGTTCCTTCTTTATCTCTAGGGCAAAACTACTTAGCAAGTCTGGGATTTAGGGTTATGTATGTAAGCCACTGCTTACATGCACAAATTATGTCTTCCTGCTTGAATAGTGCCAAGCTGGTCTGTTTGTTGACTGCATTCTTTGGAGCAATGCTGAGTTGTTATGGTACACAGAACAAATGAACACCTCAGATAACAGCATCCTTGCTGATTTTCTGGAACTCAAAGCCAGATAATATTAAAGTAAACAAAGAAAATGATCCTAGAGTGAGTTTTTCTGGAAAATGTCTGTCATAAATCAAGCTGTTTAGAGGTGTTAGTTTGAAGATGATGGATCCAACTACTTAGAAAATAACAGGTGGAAGACTAACTTTAATATAACCATGATTTTTCACAGTTTGATGCTTTAAAAAATAATGACAGATATTTATTATCACTGACAAAAGCTCTTTTAAAAATTCAAAGGGAAGGAAGTGATTTATTTCATGTCTTCAGTATACATACCATAATAAAAGACTTTTCCAATACTTAATTTTGGGAAGTTGATCATGAAACACAGCAACAGGATATAGTATACTGTGTTTGTGGGTAAATAATTCCTAGAAGCAGAGATATGTAAACATAATTGTTTTAAGAAATATTGATAAAGGCATCAAATTTAGTCTTAAAAATAAAAATGATCTTTGAAATCTGCTGGATACAAACAAGTATTGAAGTTCTAAGTCTTCTTCTGTCTCAAAGTATGTTTGTCATACCACAATAGATCCCGTAATAAGACTTGAGGCATTTAATGTTCAATGTGCATAATCCACTGTTGGGACACTATGATTTAACTGTAAGGTGTCAAATGAGAATGAGTTTAATTGTG